CGTTTCCCCAGCGCAGCAGCTTTTAGTTTTCCTTTCTGACCCCTGGATCTGAGGATTACCTGACCCCTCTCCGCAGGGAGCCAGGCCAGGTGCCGGGGCGGGGACACAGGGGGGCGGCACTGTCGCACTAACTGTCCCCTCAGGTCTCCAATGCCGCCTGTGGGACGACCCTTCCTTGGAGGCACTTCTGATGTTTGTTTGGATCAGCCCCCAGCTGACGGCAGGGCCTTCCCCGAGCATTGGCCCAGGGTGTGCCTGCGCTGCCCCACCACGACCGCCAGAGGGCGCTTGGACTCCACCCAGGGGCACACTCCTCTGCAGGCTGGTGATGCTGACCAGCTGGAGTTTTGGTGCAGAGGGGAGGAGGGATGGGCAGAGGCAGGGGCCCACCCCTCCATTCCTGGCCGCCTCGCATGCCTGGCACTTACACTGCCAGGGGCAGGGGCAGGGACAGGAGGCTGCCTGGGCTGGGCCCCAGGAGAATCCTGGGGACTTGGACCTGCCTGTCTCGGGGGTAAGGGGTGGGGTGGTGGTGGCCATATAGTCCCTGGTGGTGCCTGCAGCCTCCTGCCATGTGCACCTCGGGAGGGGCTGGCAGGCAGAGGAGGAGCCTGTGTTCTCAGTGGACCCCAGAGCTGGACGGGCTGGACATCCACAGAGTGGAAGCTGCGTGCCAGGAGGCCCTGCAGCACGCAGGAGAGAAGCAGCTCTATGCAAGGCCTTTGGGGGTCGGGAGCAGGGAGCCACGCCAGGCTGGCTGTGGGAGAAACGACTGTGCCTTCCACAAATGTCACCAAGTGAATGGGAACAGCCAAGCACCACAGCCACACATGAACCTGGGGATCATGGCAGGGCCACCTGGCTGCGGGCCCCGGTGCTGATGCTCACACTGCGAGGCTTTTTCTGAAACACCAATAGGTAGGTCCCCCACCCCACCCCACCTCACCCTCACCCCACCCACTCCCACCCTCACCCCACCCACCCACACCCACCCCACCCACCCACCCACTCCCACCCTCACCCCACCCACCCACCCCACCTCACCCTCACCCCACCCACTCCCAACCTCACCCCACCCACCCCCACCTCATCCTCACCCCCACCCACCCACCCCCACCTCACCCTCACCCCACCCTCACCCCCACCCCACCCACTCCCACCCTCACCCCACCCCCTCACCCCACCCCACCCCCCCACCTCACCCTCACCCCACCCACCCACCCCCACCCCACCCCCACCCCACCCACTCCCACCCTCACCCCACCCCCACTTCTCACAGGGCTCCTGCTTCCCTGGGTGTGTTGGGTGGCCCAGCGCTGAGGGAGGAGGCGGGCACAGTCTGGCTGAGGGTTTCAGCTGGGACTCAGAGGACGTGGGCAGGGCAGACCCAGGGAGAGGGCCTGTGGGTGCGGCTGCAGGTTCTAGAAGGAACCTGTGTCCTCCGCCCTCCGCCCTCCGCCCTCTGGGAGGGAGCTGCCCAGGATGCGATTCCACCAGGAGCCAAGTTCTACGTTTTCCGGGGCGTTTTTCCTTGGATTTTTGGCATAATATTCCTTCTAATTTATCTTTATTTTTTCAGATTTCTGGACCTTACTTAAACCAGTCTCCCCTTCTAGGGACATGGCTGCCCTCACGCTGAGAGCCAAAGGCGCCATGGAGGACGCGGATCTCCCACGGGTGTCGGCGTCTCCTTGGAGGGGGACCCAGCGCCCGTTTCTATAGTGAAATGGGAATTTTAAGATTTTCTCCATAATCAGGAAAATCAAGCTCGGCCGAAAGGAGAGGAGCATCTCCCAGGACAGACACTGTCCGCAGGTGGAGGGCCCGGCGACAGGGTCCTCCCTGCCTCACAGGTGGCTGCTCCCCCTCAGCTCCCGCTGCTCCACAGGGAGCTAGCCTGCCGCACGGGGGCTGGGGGCCGGGGCCCGGGGGCAGGTGCCGTCCTGGACCTGGGACCCTCCTGTGCTGTGACAGTGTCCCCGGCCGTGGTCACCCTGGCCCACCCTCCACCCCAGCTTGGTTTGGGCAAGAGATCTCCAGTGGGGGTGACACAGTTCTTTCAGAGCCCGGACGGCCAATGTGCCAGGCTTGTGGGCATGCTGCCAGGACGGGATCTGACACCTGCTCGGCCGGCTCTGGGAGCTGGAGGCCTGCGGACCCCGTGCTGCCACAGAGCTCAGACTTCACTCCTCCTCGCACGGCCCGAGCTGTCCTTCCCCTGCAGCCGCCCCCCCCCCCACATCCCCCCCTCCCCCGTCGTTTAGAAATAAGAACACCAACCTGAGTGCTGGGCCTGTGAACCGGCCTCCAGCCGGCATCCCGCCCTCGAGGCGCCCCCGGCAGAGGGCCCATGAGACTTGGTTGCGTGAGTGTTCTGTGACTTGCTCCTAAGAAGTCATTTGGAAGTCACACCCCCTGGAGCGGGTGTTCTTCCAGAAGGAGGGACTGACTGCTTTTCCTAGTCACCAGAGAACCTGGAACGCGGAGCAAGAGCCAGCCCCCAACTCCACCCACAGCTGGCCCGCAGGCCGGCACTCTGTTGTTTTCTTGCCAAATCTTGCAACCAACTGGCCTTCTTGGCAGGCCTGCCTGACATTCCCCATGTGGCTGTGATGACAGCAAAGGGCTACAACCAGGAAGAATAAGGTGCCTCTGCCCAGCCCCAGCCTGACGGGAGCCTCCCGTGGAGGCCAGGGAGGTGAGGCCTTTCGCATTCAAGTGCAGCCCGTGGAGACCGCGGGGATCCCCGCGTGGCCATGAGGGACAGGGAGTCTCCCCCAGAACACAGCGCAGAAAGCCTCTGCCGCGTCTGGAATTATCCACACAACAGAGCACAAGGGCCACAGCTGAAGTGCATTCTGATGTGCGTGTTTGACGGGAGGAGAGAGGCGCCGAGTCCCAGGCCGATGGAGCGACACCACGCGTGCACTTTGAAAACTCGTGGCCCCGTTAGCCCTAACGACGGAGAAGCGGGGGCGTGAGCGGCAAGCGGCAGGAGCGCTGCCTCCCTGGTGCCCTGGGCCTGCTTTCTCTGGGAGGCAGCTTCCATTAGTTGTCCATGAAAAAGAGTTCTTCGTGTAAAGCTGGGGAAATGCTGAGAGGCGGGCGGGACTGGGTAAGGAAAGTGAGACACGGCCGCGGCCGCACGCCCGGCTGCAGGGGGCGCTGCGGGCACTCCCAGAGCTGGTGGCCAGGACTCTGCCTTCACCACTGGTTACTCAGGTGGGTCACCACAGCCAGAGATGCTGGTGAGCCCACAGCTTCCGGTTTACCTTCCACCAACTTACAGACTTAAACAGCCAACAGACCAGAAACCACCCGATGCCACCAGGGCGGTAAACTCTGAACCTGCTAACAGCCCACACGACCAGAAAGAAACCTTTTCCAGAGGAATCAGGACCCTCCACCCCTTGCCTAGCAGCCCGGCCATGGGCAAGCTCCAGCGCCACCAAAGAAGAGCTGTGCCCTAGGGGCGCCAGTCCATGCCCAGCTGCCGCTCCAGGAGGACACGTTGGCCATAGAGACCCCGGCACCTGAGGCCTGAGGCTGTGTCGGGAGAGGCCAGGATGCGCACTCTGTAAGGGGCCTGCCCTGGATTTGGGGGAACTTGAGGACAGGCTGTGGGAGGTTCCACCAAGATCAACACCCTGCCCTCTCCTCGGGAACCCTCCTTAAAGGGCTCCCAGGACTTTGGGAAGCAGCCAGGGACCTCCCTGCAGGGCCAGGGAACACAGCATCCAGCGGGGCAGCCGAGCCCAGCAAACAGGTCTGCCCACAGCTCCAGGGAGCCTGGGCCGCCTCTGGGCCCATGGCTGGCAGAGCGCTGAACAGTACCCAGCACAGCACCCCAACCTAGGAGTGTAGATCACACCATGACACAAACAGAGCTGAGGTTCCCCAGGCCGAAACCCACGCGGGGTGCGGCGCATTCACAGTGTATCATCTACACACGATGTGGGGGACCGGGGCCCCCGGGAGCAGAGGGCGGGCGGGGCTCTCAGGGATGACATGCTAACCAGGCTGTGCGCGGCACGCTTTATTTCTACAAAACTATTACAAAACGTTCAAAAATACAGTTTAGTAAATTTACAGCAGTTATTCTCAATTTATTAATGCAAAACATCCCTGTTTATCTCTGTACAAACTACAGGCTCCATCCACATGGGCTCATTGCTATGTGCACTTTTAAAAAATACCATTTTCTAATAAATTCTTTGAAGTTAAAAATAACAGACCGTCCAGTTTGTCAAAAAAAGAAAGAAAGAAAGAAAGAAAGAAAAAGACAGAAAAGTGTATTTGTGAGTGTGTAACAGTCTTGACTCCCAAGAATGTGGCCACAATGGTGATGCCAAAGCAAATATTCATCCACGAGGATACCAGAAGAGATGACTGTGACCTTGGAAATTAGTTAAATTAAAAATAATATATTTTCATATTTTACACTATTTCAAAAATGAAATGTAATTCAGTTAGGTATTGATCTCTCAAAAAATCTAATTTACAATTCTGTGTATAAAAATAGACTTTGTGGACCCCAGAAGCTGAGTTCACACGCGCTGAGAAGCAGAGCTGGGAGAGCAGGGTGGCGGCGGCGGAGGGACGTGTAGAAAAATAGACTCTGCACAGGTCGCTTGGCCTCACACCTCTCCCCCGTGAGAACAGTTCACACGACAATAATAAATTACCCAAGAAACAAACTAGTTAAGGCTCTTGAAGGTCCGGTTCATATTATTTAAAACATCTATTCATACCAAACAAATAAATAGCCAGGAGAGGTGAAAAAAATCAAAATAAAACAACCAAAAAATTCAAAAAATAGGTATGAACTAAACACGAAGCCAGAGCTTCCCGGGTCTTGATTTCCTTATCGCCTATTTTGGGTTGTCCTACTTCATTATTAATATTATTTATTATGATAATGAACGCCTCATTCCGTGCGCTTCCCCGTGTCTTCTGCTGTATCGCGCTGTTGCCCCCGCCCCGCCCGCCCGCCCCGCAGGCCTTCAGCTGGACTTGACCGCCATGCCCAGCGGGTGCAGGGCCTCGCTGTCCAGCAGCCAGGTGCCTATTTGGTAGAGCAGCCGCGAGTACCAGTGGATGCCCGCAGCCCCCCGCGCGTGCGCGGCCCCTGGCGCCCCCGGCTCGGGCTGGGGGACGCGGCCGCCGCCCCCGCCGTCGCCGTCGCCGCCACGGAGCGTGCGCACGGGCGCCAGCGCGGCCAGCAGCGCGTGCGCCAGGCGGAAGGGCGCGAAGGCCCTGTGCGCCCAGTTGTGCTCCTCGATGACCGCGTAGCACGACGCCAGCACCCGGTTGATGAGGATCGTGCCCTGCGCCGTGAGCGGCGCGTAGGCGCCCGTGGCCTCCTCGCGTAGGGTCACGCTGTGCACGGCGGCGGGCAGGAGCCGGCGGTCCCCGCCGCGCTCCGCCACCACGTACACGCGCTGGCCCGGCCGCACGCGGCTGGCGAAGAGCGCCCGGCGCCCCGGCGCGCCCCCCGGCGGCCGACCTGCGCCCGAGTCGTTGTGCGGCGCGACAAAGAGCAGGTGCGCAGCGGTGAGCAGCAGGCGCTCGCGTGGCTCCCGCGTCTCGATCACGTAGAAAACTTTCTTGGCGCCGTCGTCGCGGTCCAGGAAAGTGAGGAAGTCGCTGTAGAGCAGCTGGCCCCGGTCGTCGGCCGCCAGCACGCGGTCCCCGGGACGCAGGTCCTTCACCAGCTTGGTGCCGCCCTGCTCGAGGTGCACAGTGGCGGTGCCCGGGAAGCAGCCGCCGGATTTGGCCGCCACCGAGTTCTCTGCGGGGAAGAGTGAGAGGAAAGCGGTCAGAGGGATGAGTCGCTAGACCCAGGCGCGTGTGGGGAGGGGCGCACGCGTGGTGTCCCGCGCGCTCAGACGAGGATGCGCGCGGCTCGGAGAGATTTGGAAGGGCTGGTTCCGCGCAGACCTCTCTGCCCAAGCCCCACCGCCAGGGCGACAAACTTCAGATGCAGACACATTCCTTCAGGACTCTTTCAGGAGGCGGCGGTAAAGGTCGGCTAGCCCGCTGCTTCCTTCCTCCTTCCTCCCACCCGCCCCAGCTCAGCACACACCCAGCTTCGCCGCGAATTCAGAAGGTGTTTGCTCTCCACTTGGATTCCTCAGGAAGCCTCCTTGAGCTCACCGGGCGCCGGGGCGCGGCGCCCCCTCCAGCGCTCCAGCACCCGGCTACGCCGCGGGGACCCCTCACCCGCCCGCCCCCAGCGCCCAGCCAGGGCCCTCGGTGTCAGGAGACGGGGCGGGGGTGAAAATAGCTGCAGTAGTTGTAGCAACTGGACAAACATTCCAGAGCACCGGCGGAGGTGTGACACCCGGGCGGCGCGGATTTTCCTAGTGAATCCAATACAGGGCCCGCGCGGTCACCGCGGAGGCTGTGCTCACAGGGACGCGCTGGGCAAAGGGACACTTCCCTCTCCCCGCTCCCAGCCGCCCGCCGCCCCTCCCTGTTTGCTCAGGTGCAGCCCCGCGCCCCCCGCGGTTCACACGCGGCTCTCCAGAGCCGGCCTCACCAGCACTATTTGCACAGCCAGGCCTCTCTCCAAGCTCTCAAGATGTGTATTTGAATTTTAAATGGCGGGGCTGCGGCAGCGCTGGAAGCCGCCGGTTCTCAAGGCCCCTTGACGACGCGCTGTTTGGAGCCTCCGTCGCTCTCGGGGGCTCACTGTCCGAGGACAATGATCGGAGCGGCGGCGCGCTGGGGGCCGGGAGGAGGGGCGCGGGGCCCAGTCTTCTTTGCATTCCAATCTCTGGGATCATGCTTTTTGCAAATAGAGATCGGGAGAAAGAATCTTCCTGCTGGAATTACCGAGGGCTTTTAATCTTCTCATCGGTTTCTCCGGCATGAAGTGCGGGCCTGGCCGTGGGAGGCCGCCGCAGTCCCCGGAATGCGGCCCGGGGCGCGGGCAGCCTGAGTCGTCGAGTCGCACGACCCTGCTTGACACGCAGCGCGCCGCGCCCGGCCGTGTGCGCGGAATGCCAATGAGCTGCTCTGCGCGCGGGTCTGCTCCCGCGGGGCCCTGGGGCCGGATTGCCGCTGCTCATTTTCGAGGCGACCTCCAGGGAACACCCCCGCAAAGAGCACCCCCGCCAGGGGGACCCCACGGACAGGGGTGGCCCCAAGAAGTGCAGCCACGAGGTCCCGGGAAGGGAGCGCGGTTGACTGCAGGGTGGGGAGGGGGTCAGGGGAGCGGCAGTAGGGAAGAACCCGGCAGAAAGTTCCCCGCGGAGCCCCGCGAAGTGGAGGCGCAGTGCCGCCTTTCCTTCCTCTAAGGCGGGGACCCCCTCCCCAGCGTCCCTGACACTCCTTTTCTTTCTGGTGTGAATAGAAGCCACTATTTTCCTTACCTACTAAGTCTTTTTCTACTCACATCTGCTATTAAAATACAGCTTCGGAGAAACAGGCCAAACCGGGGCGAGCGGGGAGACACGGTTCCTCGGAATTCGGTGTGAACTGGTTTGCTAACTGCGCCCGCTCAGGCTACACGGAGGTGGGCGCCCGCTCAGGCTACACGGAGGTGGGCGCCCGCTCAGGCTACACGGAGGTGGGCGCCCGCTCAGGCTACACGGAGGTGGGCGCCGGCTCAGGCTACACGGAGGTGGGCGCCCGCTCAGGCTATACGGAGGTGGCGCAAACAGTCGCCAAGTTGGGACATTCGCGCGTGTGGGCGTATAGCCTTCCCGCCGGAGCGATTCCTTGCCGGCGACTGCGCGGGGCGGTGCAGGCCCGGGGAAGGGAAGCGCTCCCGGCCGACGCCGGCCGCAGCTGCAGGCTCCGCTTCCAGGCCCTGCCTGTGGCACGGCGAGCTGCTGCTAACGAGCCTGGCGGTGCTTCTGGGCTTGCGGCGTCCAGATGTTGGAAGTGGTGGCTGCTGAGTTTATTACTCCCACCAGGCCTCTCCCCAAGGGCTGTGCCAGTGAGTTAAGTTAGTTTAGAATCCGCAGGCGCTCGGGGGGGAGGGGAGAGGACAGGGGCCTACACCCTGGACACAAGTTCCTGTTCTGGGGCGGGTGGTGGAGGGTGGGGGACGGTTGATTTTTAAGCCCTAAATGAGAGGAAGGATGAAGCCAGAGCTGGCTAACAGCAGGGCTGCAGTCTCTCATCAGGAGAGTGTCCCCCATCTTTCTCCCTCACTCCGCCACCTCCAGTGGGCGCTCCAGAAGCGGAAGGTGTCTCAGGAGCCACATGCCCCCTGCATCAGTGTTCAAAGGACCTCCAGCCTTTGCAGCCTTAAATGGGGACTGGCAATGCCTGGCTGGGGACGAGCCTCACAGAGTACATGCCCACTGCAGAAACACATGCCCTTCTCTGGCCCTCAAGCCCCCTCCCTATTTCTTTTGCTTTGCCTTGAATCAGGCCACAGGGCACACAGGTGACATCTTGTGGGTGGATCTGGAGCTTGAAGATGGCGGTACAGAACGGGGGTGGGGGGTGGGGGGCGGGGAGGCCACTCACCTGCTTTCACAGAGCAGTGGATGTGTGCTTTGGATTCGTAGTACACCCAGTCGAAGCCCGCCTCCACGGCCAGGCGCGCCAGCATGCCGTACTTGCTGCGGTCCCGGTCGGACGTGGTGATGTCCACGGCGCGGCCCTCGTAGTGCAGTGACTCTTCAGAGTGGTGGCCGTCCTCGTCCCAGCCCTCGGTCACCCGAAGCTTCACTCCTGGCCACTGGTTCATCACTGAGATGGCCAAAGCATTTAACTTGTCTTTACACCTCTGCAGAGAGAAGGGGGCAGCGTGGACATTAGCATCTGGCCCACACCCACTTCCCCAGGCGGCTCAGAAGACTCCCTTGCAGACTCGGGGGGTGCCAGAGGTGAGGCCTGGAGGGGGCGCCGGGCTGGGAAAGGGTGTTTGCAGGAGGAGCAGCTCCTCTTTCGAGATGAGCTGAGGGCCTGTCTCCAAACCCTGAATGAGCAGAGCTCCTACCCCAGCCTGGGGAGCAGATGAGACTTTGGGGGGAAGAGTGAACTGTGTGTTTTCAGACAAAGGCTGCAGAACTTACCAGGGGTACCCTTGTCCATGCCTTGCACCTTCCCCAAGGTGTCCCCCACCCACTGCACCCCTTGCTGTGGCCCATTTCTCTGCACCTGTGAGGGGCCCCACCCTTCTCCCTGGGGAGGGCACACTCCCTCACCTGGAGGCCAGAGGGAGCCCAAGGTGCAATTTTGCAGAAATCAAGCAAAATGCACTACTTCTTAAAGAGCCCAAAGCCTCACCTTATCTTTGGACCCTCCCTCCTGCCCTAGGCCTATCTGAGGTGAGAATTAAGCCAAAGGTAGAGAGGGAGGGGGGACGCTGATAGTAGAGCTGAGGGTGGGCGAGAGCCAGCAGTGAAAGGCCCAGTGAGTTATAATTTTCAATGTGGCCGGGCGGGCCGGACGACAAACAGTCTTTATCTGAAAGCCGCATTCCTCGGCCGGGACTCTTTCCCCGGCTTGGCTGAGGGCTGGTCGAGCCTCTTGTTCTCCTTAACCTGCTCCCTTCCCCCTCTTGTTTTCTTGGCTCCAGCGCAGAATGGTGTCCGGCAAGTTTGAAGAACAAGCTTCAGAGGTGGAGGGAGGAGGTGGGGAGGGAGAGAGGCGTGGGGCGGGAAGTGGGGGATGGGAGTCAGAAAGGCCTGAGGCCAGGGAGCCCTTCGCCTTGGGGACTCTGCCTCCACCCGGGCCTTCGCCTCCCCCCCCCCCCACCTCCCACCGGGAAGCTGCCCGTGGGAGTCAGGAAAAGAGCAGGCGGGAGGCACAACAGGGCGCGTGGAGCTGGCGTCTCCCCCATCCCCGCATATTCCGGGTCCCAGAGAAGGAAGCAATAAAACAGCTGAATCAAGTGTGCGTTTGTGTGGCTGCGAACGCGCTGGGCGCGCATCCTGCTGCGGGCGGGGTGCGGGATGGAAAAGGAAGGACAAGGACACAGCCCTGACGGCATCCCCGAGAGGCCGACTCCCAGGGAGGCGCGCGACAGTTTCAAGTTGGTGTCTGCAGAGGGCAGGCTGGCCTCCTCCGGGCGCGCGGGCGCTCGGCTCCCCGCTGGACCCCAAGAACCGCGGGAGGGACTCCTCTCCTAAGCGGGGGGAGGGGCGTCCTTGCAGACGGGGATGTGATAGATTGCGCAACAGGAAAAGCCCTGTGTATTTGGCAGCAATAAAACGCAGTAATACGGTTGTAGAGTTAAACATACAACAGAGGGGGGAGGGCGGCCCTGGTGGCAGGTCAGCGCTTGCAGGTTTCTGGGCCTGACAGCCGTTTTCTTAAAAAAAAAAAAAATTAGGAGGGCAGAGTGTGAGTGAGGTCATCTTGAGGATTGAACGCGTTTTACATGAAAATCAATCCGTAAACTAAGGTCAGCCGGGATGCGGAGCGGCGGCGCAGGCGCACACCGCCTCCGCGCACACGCAGACACCCGGCGACCCGAGCCCCATCCCGCCCAGCTCCGCTCTCCTGGGGGCACGTGGAGCTCTCAGAAGTGCCCCCTGGGGCAGCTGGCTGGGGGCGGGGGAGGGCAGGATGGGGAGGACTCGGGACCACCCTCGCGCCCAGAGCTGCGCCACTCGGACCAGAGGTGAAGGACGCCGGCGAGGACGCAGGCCCAGGAAGGCCCGACTCGCTCCCCGCGCCCCCCCTCCCGCCCTTCCCGGAGCGGCCGCGGCCAAAGCCGGGAAGCCCAGGACGGTCATCAATTCACTGGGTCGTGTGCCGCGAATCAAGCCCGGCTCTTGTGCAGCCACCGTGAAGCCCAGCGGGGCCGCCGGGCCGCTTTGTGTCGCCGAGGCCCCGCGGTTCCCCACGCCTGAGCTCCCACCGCCTCCCCCGTCTGCGCAACCGCTGCGCGCCCGGCGCGGGAGAGGGACCGTCACCGCCAGCGGCCTGCGGGCTTCCCCGGCGTGGGGGAGGGGTGCTCCAACTTCAAAAGAGACCCCCTCCAGTCGGGGCACACACCTCCCCCACTCCGGAAAACAGACCCTTCCCTCAAATCAGGAAAACCCTCCCGAAGCCCACACCTGAGCGCGGTGCCCCAGGGCCGCCACGCACCCAGAAACCTACTCTACCCGGCGTCTCAGGCCGATGCCCTCGCGGCCCTCAGCCCGGCCCCTCGCGGGCCCCTGTCCCCTCAGAGCCCCGGCCGGCACCCCGCCTGGCACCCGGGCCGCAGGGACACGGCGTCTGTCTGCGCTCCCCCTCCGAGTTAATATTAACCAGGAGCTCATGCGTCCAGAACTGCTCTCAGAGTTCCACTGGGGACGATCTCGCCACGGTTGAGGGACTTGGGCGGCAGGCACATTAGAGAGACAGACGCACCGAGGCTCGGAGGGACAGGGGAGGAAGGGCACGCACCTGAGCGCAGAATCCAGGTGGTGATCTAAGTGAGGGGCCAGCGGGCGCGCGGGTTCCCCGAGGAGGAGCCCTAACCTCCTCGGGGCCGGGGAGGCGGGCTGTTTCACCCCTTCACCCCAGCCTTGCCCCTCACCACCCACGTCCTCCGCCTTTCACCCTGCCCCGCCCCCCCCCCCCTCGTGGAGTCAGAGCAAAAGGTAGGGCGGGAAGGGATAAACCAAGGGCACCTTCCAGGCTGCTCCCCAGCCACCCACGATTTTGGGGGGACATTTGTGGTGTCCATAGTGCGATTCGGGCCTGCCTCTCCCCACCCAGCTGGATGGTGGCTGCCCCTCCCCCGTCCTTTTGTGCAGGGACCGGGAAAAGCCACTGCCCAAGGAAAAAAGTATTTGTTTTCGTTTCTCCGTCTGAGGGAAGTTGACAGAAGGTCAGAAGTTCAAATGCTGCCAGCGCACGCGGCGGCGAGAGTGAGGGGGCGCTGGGCCGTGGGTCCCCAGAGGGCGCCCAGGCCCGGGAGGCGGCGGCCCCGGCACCTGCCTTCCCGCCCACGCGCGGGCGGCCCGGGCCGTCGGGGCCTGGCTTTGAGCGGAGACCCGGCGGCGCAGGGCGCGGAGGGGCCGCAGCCCGCCCGGTGCGCTGAAACCCGAGCCGCGGGATCGATCTGCCCGCAGTAAGTGGAGCCGAGTGCGTCTGCTGGGTGTGCGCCTGCTCCGGCCGCTCCCTCCTCCCGGCTCCGAGGGACCCCGAGGAGTCCCCCTCCCTCTCGCGGGAGCGGGGTGACCCGGGGTCGGGCCGGGCCGGGCCGGAGAACTCCCCGCCGCCGACAGCGCCCGGAGGCCTGCGTGGAGTTCACCGGCGCTGGCGCTGCTCTGGGCACCGGCGCGGGCGGCCGCACTCACGGTCCAGATTCAGGGTGGTTGGAGCAGATGAGCGAGAGCAGGGGGGGCAGGACCCTCTCCTCGGCCCCCTCCTCCCAGGCTTCGCGGCCGCCCCGAGCGGACGGTCCGGCTCCCGGCTGGGCCGGCTCGGGCCGGAGCGCGGGCCCCGGCGGCTCCGTCCCGCCGCCCCCACCCTCCCCGCACTCGCGCCCCTTCAGCGCCGCTCAGTCAGCTGCTCTGCGCTCCTAGCCCTAAAGGTAGGACTTGACTATTTTAATAGGGCAATAAAAAGGATGTTGACCTATATTTGCCAGGAAATCCATTTCTAGCTTTAGTTCTACGTGCTCGGAGTTTCAGACAGCCCACCCCGGGCGGGAGCTGGCAGCCGGCGTCTCCAGCGGCAGCGGCGAGGGAGAGAGGATGCAGGTTTGCCCGGTTCCTCTCTCAGCCCCTGGAGAGTCCCCGGGCGAGCGGGTTGCAAACCGGCCTGATGCGGTGCCAATAAGTTCTAAGTCCCTCCCCTCAGGTACCCGGCAGGAGCGTGAACGCACATCCTTAAAGAAATATCGATACATTCACACCCTGCCGGCACCACTGTCACCGCGGAGGCGCAGGGAAGCTGGTGACACGCCAGGGACGAGCCAGGCCCCTCTGAGCCCTGCCTCTGCTCAGCCGGTCTTTAGCCGCCGGCGGGGCAGCGGCTGGGGGTGTGGTGGAGGACAGCACGGAGGAGGGAGCAGGCTCTGAGAGGATGCTGAGGCCACATTGATACTGGGAGCTGGAGACACTCCGTGGTTATGGGGGATTTCTGCCCCTTCCCTCATTTCCACTCCAAACTTGGAAAGGGCAGACACTCCCAAAGGGAAAGACTCCCCAAGTCACCAGCCAGAGTAGAGGCAGGATGGCAAGGCCATCCCAGCCAGAGAAATCAAATCAGGGCCATCCGTGGACCAGTCTCCGGCCGCCTCCCCCACCCCCACCCCGAAGTTTTCAGCTGGACCCTTCACCTGCATTCCCTCCAGGAAGAGGAAGGGATGGCAGGTGGACAGGTGGGTGGGGAAGGCCGGGGAAGTCGCCTTTCTCTGCCCCAGAGCAAACACCCGCCTGGACTGCCTGGTCTCACAGAACCCCCTTAAGCCACACAGCCCGCGCCCGCGCTGGGCTTCTACCTGAGTCATCAGGCGGTCGGCTCCCGTGTTCTCCTCGTCCTTAAATATGATGTCGGGGTTGTAGTTGGGGGTGAGTTCCTTAAATCGCTCTGAGTTTCTCGAGATCTTCCCCTCGTATCTTCCACTGGCCCCCAGGGTCTTCTCGGCCACGTTGGGGATGAACTGCTTGTAGGCTAAAGGGGTCAGCTTTTTGGGGTGCCGCCTCTTCCCAAACCCCCTGCCCGGTCCGCACGCCAGCCCGGAGCACATCAGCAGCGAGGAGACCAGCAGCACCAGCAGACATCTCGCCAGCAGCAGCATCTCGTCCATGGAACCCAGTGACTTCCAAGCCGTCCCCGTGCAGGTCTGTGTGCGCGAGTGCGCGAGTGTGTGTGCCTGTGCGCCCTCCCTTCCTCGCTGGGCTCGCTGCTGGCTCCCTTGCTCGCTCTCTGCCTCGCTCTTTCTCTTTCTATAGCACCCTGCCCGCCACCCGTGCCGGGGACTCTCTGCCGATCCCCACCCAGACGGGGGCTGGAGCGGCAGGCTGCTGGTCGCTGATAACGGAGCACATCTGAGTTGGGGCGGGAGACAGCAATCAAAAGACAAAAAGAGTCTGATTTTAAATGGTAGCAAGCCTGGAGAGCTGTGCGAGAGGCTGTCTTCAGTACTATATTATAGCTGGCAGGGGCGCATCTGATTGGCCAAAGCAGCACAGCTTCGCTTCTGATGTTAACCCTAAAAAAGACTAGATTTTTTTTTCTGTTGCTGCTGCTGCTTTATTTTCACCTGAAGGCTTTGAGTTAAAAGGAAAAGAACAACACCTTTGCTAAGACAAGGGTGGGTGTGAGGGATGCCGCCTGAGCTCACAGTGACAGCAGTGACCCCCTGCTTTGTGCGTGTCTCCCGTTCCCCCTTCACTTTCCCCAGAATGGTAGGTGCTTCAGTTAAAACCAACTTAAGTTTTTAAAGGACAGCCTGGACCCCCTCCCAGCTTCAATCATCAAACAAGTATTCTCTCCAGTGTCTGAGGGGTAGAGCTGCCCAGAGCTGATTTAAATATTTTTCTGAGACTTTATTACGCAGTCCAGCTCTGACAGCATTTTAAAGACACAGGGTCTGCGTTTTCCTGAATCTTCCACATCCCTGGGTGGAGGGTCACCCTCACTAGCCACTACGGCAAGCATTGCTATTTGCAGGGCTTTCAGTGCCTGGGAGAAACTGGAAAATGCTGTTCCTTCTGCGTTCCTATCAACGCATTATTTTTAACCCTCTGAACATGGGCTGGAGGAGTGCGCAGGGGCTGGTACTGCGATCTGAATTCATCCTGCCGGCTTGGCTGAGTGCGTGTGGGCACTGCACCCCAGCCTGGAGGAGGGGGCCGCACCGTGCCTGTGAGGTGGGCGGAGGCCCATTGTGCCTGGGGGTAGCGGTGAGCGGGCAAGACCGTGCATACACCACCCCCACCATCTATCGATCCGGGCAAAGTGCAGGCCAGGGATGAGCTGGATGTGGGATTCAGGCTCCTTCCACGTTGTGCCGAGCTGGCTGTCGGTGGAGCCTGCGAGCCGGTGCTGGGGGCTGCGGCCTGAGGTGGGGCAGGGCCCAGGGGAGCAGTGTTCTGGCTGCAGAGGGCCTGGCACTCGGAGCCAGCAATACTGGCTATTTTTTACTATTTTCTTTCAGAAAATGAAGTCCTGTTTAAAGCAGAAAAATAAAATCAGAAACCCCGCCTTTTACAGGACTGTCCTTCTCGGCCCTCCCAGGCCACTCCTGCCAGGGCTGCTCTAGAGTAAGCCAGGGAGAGGGGCTGGGGCCGGCGCGCTGGCCCTGCGGTCAGGCCCTGGACTCCCTGGAGGCTGAGCCTCTCTGGGCCCAGCCCAACTCCATGGAGCAGCGGGAGAGGCAGGTCTGGGGGCTGGGGCCCTCAGCACAGTGGGTCCCTTCCAGCCGTCCATGCGAGCCCCCTCTCAGATGACCTTCTGGTGGGAGGTGAGAGGGGACCTGATAAGAACTGAGCACCATCAAGGCCTTCCCCAGGTTGACCCCAGCCCTCACCCCACCTTTTTGCCTTTTGTGTCCTGACTGGTGAAGAATGCCCACTCCCAGCCAGGTGGGCAAGCAGCCCCCGTCGCCAGGGCCTGCCAGGTGGACGGTCTGACCCAGCGTCCTGGCTGCGTATCCCCAGTGGGAACAGACACAGGAAGGACACTCGGTCCTGGACGCTGGAGGGTCAGCCTGCTTGGGGTGTCACCGTGCAGCAGCTCATGTGGATGCAACACCACTGGGTGGGGCGGGGCTTGAGAAGCCCCTGGGGACTCCAGCCTTTCCCTCCCCCTCTCCCACCTCCACTCTGGGTCTGGCCTCCTCCCAGTCCTTTCCCAACCCCCCTCTTCTTTGCTCTCACACCCTCCCTTACAAACCCAGGCACAGGCAAGGGGCGCAGCACCGGGTGCCACCCTGCAGCCCCAGATCAGGGACCCCATGTCACCACCGGTGCGCACAGGTGGGGGAGGTCTGCGCCCCAGGGCAAGGGGTCCTGCACCTGTAGAGGCCTCAGATGCGCCTGGGGGGCGGTCGCCTGCACGGAGCCAGAGCGGACCTGGGATGCCTGCCCCTCACTGCTCGTGGCCTGGGGACTGGCCGTCCTCAATGATGAAATAATGATGCCCCTCAGACCCGCACTGACCCTGATTTCTGAGGATCTTCCCTGTTGGGGGTGGGGGTGGATCTGGACAGAACTCCACTGCAGTTTGTATTTATTGTCTTAGCAACAGGGGTGCCAGCCAGGTCCCCCGAGAAGGGGAGCCCCTGCCCTTTCCTCCCCACCCACTTCCCGGACCCCAGACACCAGATGGCTCCCTCCTTTGTCTTCCCCCTTCAGACACTTCGGTCCCTCCCCACTCGGGTCAGAGGCTCTGAACCCCACCTCTGCCTGACCCCAGGTCCCCCCAGGATTTGTTTCTCATTTGCCTGGGCTCTTTCCAGGGTCAACTGCACACCCCCCCCCCCCCCCCCCCCCCCCCCCGCACCCTGCGGAGGTGGCTGCTGACTTCTGCCCCCACCCCCAGGAGGCGCCTCTGCGCCCTGCTGCTGGCCCCACCGCTAGATGGCCTCCTGACTCTGCCTCTGGCCGACCAGCGGCCGGAAATTCGAGCAGCCGGTGGGGAGGTTCCTGGGAGCGGGGTTAGCCCATTCGGGCCGCCCGCCCACCCCTCGCCCACTTCTGTGGCCCCTCCGTCCCCCTTGGGGGCGGCTGCCGCTGGGCCCTGCAGTGGAGCTCGGCCTCCCGCCCCAGCCAGGGGCCACACTCTCCCTGGCTCTCCACTCCTGTCCCTGGGGCTTGTGTCCCCTTCCCCAGGTCCCCGCCCTGCGATGTCTCTTCCTGGGAGCCCTTCCACTCAGCCTCTTTCCACCCAGTCATGGCTTCCCATATCTTTCTGATTTTGTCTACTTTTGGCAAATTGAATACCTGGGCCTCCGTGCCTCCCTGTGACCGCAGCCAGGGTCTCCCCGGAGTTATGCAGGGAGGTGCCTTGGGGGTGCGAGTGTCCACTCGGGGCCACCGCGTCCCTGTCCTGTCACGCTTGGGAGAAGGCCGCCAGACACACAGACCTCTGCCAGCGAGGGTCTCCGTGGGGGCTGAGCCCAGTGACAGTGCTTCTCAGCAGAGCATAGCGCAGAGGGGCACTGCCAGGGACAGGAGGGGGTGCCCGCCACACGCTGCGCCACGCTGGGGAGGACCTGGCACCTCCCCGGCTCGGTGACTCTCGGACGCCCTGCCCGCCGTGGCACAGGTGACAGCTGAGGCCCTCCCTCCCTCCCGAGCACCTGTGGCTCCAGCGCCCACTCGCACTGGTTCTGCCCAGCACACCTGCGGCGTGTCCCGTGCACCCACCCCAGGTGCTGTGGCCCCCGGGGGATGTGCTTGTCCCCAGGACCGGTCTCCTTCTAGCTGACTTTTCTCCTCGTCGCCCCACCCTTTACCTCTCCTTTTACCCAGAGCAGGCGCTGACATGGTGACCTGGCGCGGGAGACGCCCACACACAGGACGATGGCGTGTCTGGTCCCGTGCACGGCCGAGCAGGCGGGTCGGGCCCCCTGTGTGCTGTGGCTGAGGGTGCAGGCTTCCTCGCTCCAGACCGGCCCCTGAGCTCAGGCCAGCCCAGTGTAAGCTCGGCCTCAGGGCCTGTAGGTGCGCGACCCCGTACGGTCCAGGGAACCTCGGCCTCATGTGAGTGGGTCAGGAATGGCGCTGTGGGAGGTGGCTCACGTCCAGGAAGTGAGGGACAGACCTAGCTTTTCTGGTCCCAGCTCCTGTGTGCCCTTCCCGGTCTCATAGCTGCCTGGGCCCAGTGATGACAGGTGCCCGGGGCAGCAGCTCGGTCACCCTCATTGCGTTGGGCCACCTGGGACCCTGAGCAGGAGAGAAACCCCCAGCAGCGCCTAGTTGCCCTCCCCACAATCCTGTTGCCGGGGGACCCTGTAAGCCCACAGCATTAGGGACTGGGGAGGGTCCCTGTCCTCAGGACACCCCTGTCCTCAGCCCCCCCATCTGCCTGGAACGCCTTTTGCCCAGGAGGATCTGGTGAGGAGCCCGCTGAGCTCCCCATGGGGCAGGAGGGAGTGCGGGGGGGGGGGGGGGCGGGTAAGGAGTGACCATGAGTTTCTGATTCTTTCTGAAGATCAGGCATGGGGACACAGTGAGGTGAGTGTGTGAGTGTGTATGTGCATATGCATGCATGTGTGACTGCGTGAGTATATGTGCCTATGTATATGTATGTGCATGTGTGCATATGAGTGTATGTATGTTTGTGTGTGTATGAGTGCGAGTGTATGGATGTGTATGTATGTATATGACTGTATGTTTGTGTGAGTGCACGTGTGACTATGTGTGTGTATGACTGTGTGTGTGTATATGCGTCTATGTGTGAATGTGTATATGGGTGAGTATGCATGAGTGTGACTGTGTGTGACAGGAGTGAGGACAGAGCCGGAGCAGGGCAGCAGGGCAGGCTGACGGCTCAGAGGGCCTGACATGGGGTCGGAGCAGCAGGGACTCCGGAGGGGGGCTCAGGTCTCCTGGCCCACAAAGCCGGTCCAGCTGGGAAGACTTGGGCCCTTGTCACCTGCTTCCTTCCGCGGGGGGAGCCCTGCCCTGGTCTGGCTCTTTCTGCCACTCCTTGGCAGCCAGCAGAGCACTTAGGTCATTTGGGCAACTTCTGTCCAAACATTTTCTTAATAAAAAAGGAGATGGGAAGCTGACATGCAGGAGCAAAGCGAATCAGGTTTGTCCATCCATCTGGCGTGGCCGCAGCTCCATGCTCGCCAGTGCCTGGGGCTCCTTCTGCACAGCAGCCTGGCACCCACCTCTGCCCTCTCCCTCGGTGACAGGATGCCACCCGCGGTCCTTCCCTTCTGAACCCAGATTCCCAAGCCCCTTCAGGGCTGCATTTTCTAGAAAGACCTGAACTTCTGTGCACGGGCACAGACTACTTGGAGGCTTTCCCCGGCATGGTATGTTTGTGGTATGTTGGCAGGGAGGGTGCTGTCTATGCGTGCACTCGGAGACCTACAGGACCCGGGGCCAGGGCTGGGACCACACCTGACCTGTTCTATTCGCCAAGGGAGCTGGAGCAACACGGCTCTTCCATGCTGAGAGCCGTGTCTGAGCCCCAGAGCAGGCAGATACTTAAGGCCAAAGCAGTTGGGTGTGAAATTATTCAACTGCTTTAAAAAAAATACATTTTTAATTGATTTTTTATTTTAGAGAGAGGAAGGGAGAGGGAAAGAGAGAGAGAGAGAGAAACATGGATGAGCTGCCTCCTGCACACCTCCGACTGGGATGCAGC